GTTCCACTAGTTAATTACCGAAAAATCAATTAGGATAATCATCATTTAACAAACAAAGTCCACATCGGACCAAAAAACTTTAGGTATATAAACAGCTAACCCTTGTCTTTAGATTCAGTATCAATTTGCTTCTCCTGAAGATGCTAACCTTGTTAGCGAAACGCGCTTCGAGTGCAAAAATATCAGTTTGGTATTAGGGTAATCGATCTCTAGAAAAGGTTTTCAAAAATCGGTTTGCAAAACCACTCACTACCTCACCTAACTCCACGAAAACACGGCACTGATAAAGAAATATTGTGAAACGGACAAAAAATTAGTATTCAGCCAGTCCAGCTAGCCGAGCCTTTAATCCTTAACTACATTTGAAAGCATGTTTACTATCTGGGCGACTAGGGACCACAGGCAAGAAATGTTTATGACTGTACTCTTATGTTTATTGCCGTTCCAATTGGGAATGGAAAGAATATAACAGTGTGAAACGACCCCATAGATCAAAAGGAAATGGATGCACATACCTCTCCGCTTAGGCATATAAGTCTGTTATACAGACCCCAAGATTTTGGGTGAATCATTTGATACATGACACTCATACTCCCCGAACTATGTCCTGCCAAAGTGACTTGATTGGGATCACCACCAAATGATTTGATATTAGAATTTACCCATTTCAAAGCGGCGTACTGATCTTTCAATCCATAATTGCCGTATGAGGCTTCATCTTCCGTGCTCAGAAAACCTGGAAAATCACATTTATTGAAAAATGATAAGAAAAATGAAAGTATGTTAGTGAATTGAGTAAATGAAGGAGATTTTATTCCACCAATTATGAAACAGATAAAATAATAATATTTATACTACATGAGTTTGCTGAAAATTTCAGCCAAAAGTTTCCTCTCTTCCTTGAGTGACTTGGTTAATTCAATCATATCTGTTTTATTATCACCTCAAAACTGAGAATAGATCCAAAATATTTAAAAAAAACACAGTGAAGTAACTTACTGAAACGATTGATGATGGATATGAAATAAACAGGAACTGAACGATATGTGCGAAGTAAGTTGAATGTTCATTGAAAGTAATAAAAGCCAAGAGAGCACCCACAAAATATCAGTAGTGAAATAAGTGGAAAAAAATTATATTAAACTATTTTGTTGAAAAAAAAATAATGATGAAGATGATGTACTGAAAACTGAAAAATAATTTGGAAGAATCTAGGTAGCAGCAATCCACTCTCCTCAGCAATCTACGGTATTGAT